ACGGGAGAGACAGAGGAAATAAGTCAGACAAATGGGAAACAAAGGAGGGGCATGGGAAGCAAAATAAGGAAGCAGAAATCAGAGACATAACAAACAAGGTAAAAGGGAAGTAATGTTGATAAATAGAAAGCAAAGAAATAACACAATGGAAAGAAAAGAATAGGAAAGAATAAAGAATAAGGAGCGAGACAATAAACAAGGGACACAGGAAGCCCGACGACGGCTCAAAAGCAGAGGCCGGAAGGGCAAGGAGAGGCCAAGGCACCGGCAGACAGACAGACAAACAGACAGGCAAATACATAGAGAGACTGACGGACAAAAAGACAACCAAACAAACCCAGAAAAAAACATACAGACCAACATATCGACAGACGGCCAGACACCGACAGACCGAAAAATAAAGACAGACAGACAGACAGACAGACAGGGCAGGTCAGTGTCCGAGGGGGACAAACGCCAGCTTGCAAGTCATCGGGACCGAGGGGGAAAAAGGTCGTATCTGATGCCAAAGTGACGGAGTTGCAAAAGATAGGGGCGTCGTCGTTGGGATTCATATGGAATGTTGGCGAGATTCGGTTTCCTGTGGGCGAGAGGGGAAGGGGGGGGGCAATGGGAGAGAGAGAGAGAGGGGATGGGGAGAGAGAAGGGGGCTAAAAGGAGAAGGAGGAGGAGGAGGAGGAGGAGGAGGAGGAGGAGGAGGAAGGAGGAGGGAGGAGGAGGAAGAGGAGGAGAAGGAGAGGAGGAAGAGGAGGAAGGATGAAGAGAAAAGAGAAAGAAAGAATGAAATATATATATATATATATATATATATATATATATATATATATATATATATAGAGAGAGAGAGAGAGAGAGAGAGAGAGAGAGAGAGAGAGAGAGAGAGAGAGAGAGAGAGAGAGAGAGAGAGAGAGAGAGAGAGAGAGAGGAGAGAGAGAGAGAGAGCACATATTTTGTGTGGCACAATAAAGAAAATTACCTTATCATACTTGAGTTAGGCTTATCCATACGTTCAGCTGAACATAATGAATTTTTAATTTTCCGTCACTCGATTCTTAGCCCTTCACACCTCCTCTTCTTTCTCTCTCTCTTCCTTTTCTGTCATCGCTTCTATCCGTCTCCCTTCCTCCCATTCCGCCTTCTTTTTCCACCATGCCTCCCCCTTTCCCCACCCCCCCCCTCTTTTCCTCCAAAATCCGTCTCTTCTCTCCTTCTCCCTTCTTCTTTCCTTTTCCCCTCTTTCTTTCACCCCCTTTTCCCTCTTTCTCTCCCTTCCTCTTTCCTTCTCCCTCTTCTTCTCACCCCCTCTCTCCTCTTCCTCCCTTTCTCTCCTTTTTTACCTCTTTTCCTTTTCCCCCCTTCCTACTCTTTTCTTCTCCCCCTCTTTCTCCCCTCTTCCTGCCGCCCCTCCCCTCCTCTTTCTCCCTTCCTCCCTCTCCTACCTCTTTCCTTCTCCCCTCTTCCTCAACCACCCTTTTTCCCCTCTTTCTCCCTTCTCCCTCCCTCCCTCCCTCCCTCCTTGAGACGCTTGGCACGGCTCCGCGGTTTATGGAAGGCCTCTATCCGCTATTGATCCCGGGGAAACAAAGAGGCCGGGCGCTTTACTGCCTCTTACCTCCCTCTTATCTGAACACCTTCGAATTACTGGCGCCGCACCTCTTCGTCGCCCTCTTTGCAGGTCGCGGGCCCTGCTATAACCCGCCCACCCCACATCCCCTCTACCTCCGCCACTCCCCTCACCATTTACTATCGTCTTCAGCGTCGCTATTCCCCTGGCCATCTGCTACTGCTGTCCTTCGCATTTCCATCATTCTCCTCGCCATTCGCTATAGTCTCCGCGTCTTTGGCATTCTCCCCGCCTTCTGCTATTTCCTCCCGCATCTCCACCATTCCCTTCGCCATCTATTTCCTCCCGCATCTCCACCATTCGTCATCCGCCATTTCCTCCGCATCTCCACCCTTCCTTCGCCATATCTATTTCCTCCCTATCTCCTCCATTCCCTTCGCCATCTGCATCTTCCTCCCGCATCCCCATCATTCTCCTCATCCCTATCTTTATCACATTCTTCCCTACACTGCGCGCCGCTACTACTGCTCCAACGCCATAAACCTGACATAAGCATGTGTTTGTTTTCCTTTTTTTTCTCTCTCTTTCCCTTCGGCCTCCCTACCACTAACTTTCGTAACTGCATAGTTGCAAAAAAAAGTAATGGCTAGAAAATGCAGTTCAAAGTTGGGTCTTGCGTCTGCTGCAAATTACATGCAATGGAAAACTTCTCAGAAATCCTAAACAATTTACGGGACAAACATAAATCAAGAAAAAAACTCTAAAAAATAAAATCAAAGCCAAAGGAAGAGAGGAAAAAATATGAGTAAAAGGGTAATGGAGGAATGCGAGAGAAAGAAAGAGGGGGACGGAGGGAGGGAGGTTGGAAATGGGAAAGGGAAAAGGAGAGAGAGAGAGAGAGAGAGAGAGAGAGAGAGAGAGAGAGAGAGAGAGAGAGAGAGAGAGAGAGAGAGAGAGAGAGAGAGAGAAGAGAGAGTGAGTGAGAGAGAGAGAGAGTGAGAGTGAGAGAGAGAGTGAGAGAGAGAGAGAGAGAGAGAGAGAGAAGAGAGAGAGAGAGAGAGAGAGAGAGAGAGAGAGAGAGAGAGTGAGTGAGAGAGAGAGAGAGAAGAGTGAGAGAGAGAAGAGAGATCAAAATAAAATCACATAAATCAGATAAAATCCCTGCAAAGAAACAAAGCGAAAGAGAGGAAAACGAACACGGACGAGGAAAAGGTGAAAGACAAAAGATGTGGCACAATGGATGGCCGGGAAGGCCGAAGAGAGTAAGAGGGAGTGGATGGGAAGGAGAGGGTAAGAGGGAGTGGATGGGAGGGAGAGGACTCAAGGGATAATATGGAAGAGAGGATAGAAGGGAGTGGATAGGAGGGAGGGAAAAGAGGGAGGGGGAGGGGGTGAAGGTGATGATGGCCTGTAGTGACAGCGAGTGGCCGGATGGGCGGGCCGGGCACTCGAACAAAACACTGTTACTCGCCACTGTTATCGATGCATCTCCGGCCGCGAGCGCCCTCCTTCTCACCTACATCGAGGTGAAGATGGGGCCTCGAAGGGCGATGTCGTCTTCAGTGGTTACGTAGACCCAGTGGCAGGAAAAGCGAAACAAAATGAAGTGGGATAAATAAATAAGATATAACAGAAACTGGAATATAGTCAACAAGGCTACAGACGGCACCATCAACTTCTTCCAAAACAAATTCCTTCAAACCACTTCTTAGGAAAAAAAAAATGGTATCGACAAAGGCAAACGTTAGCTGAGTTTTGATGCGATTTTTACTCGAACTTTTCTGGTAATAAAAATACATGAGAATCCAAAACCAGTACGGTTTTCATTGCAAAACTATTAATTGCAAATGTGATGATCGGAAAAAAATGCGAAACAATTTTACTTTCTATTCTTAAGCCATTTTCATGTTCCTACTGCGAGTGAAAGATGTACAAAAAATACGAATACGAACCAGAGTAACACAATGAACACTCGCAATCATATATAGCAAGGCGAGGAGATAGCGGGAAAATAGAACCTGAAGAAGAGGGAGAGAGAAAAACACGCAATTCCACGCAATCCAGCTGGCCCGCGGTCCCGTAACGCTGTCACGATATAAAACGAAGCCATTAAGCGTCCGGATGTAGAGCTGTAACGGGAGGGTGGGGGTGGGGGTGGGGGGACGGAGAGCGCTGGTGGGGCCTGTACAGTGACCCAAGCCTCCAACAGGCAACACGCAACACAATAGACCGTGTTGGAGAGACGCGAGGAAACCCAGTTCCACGCTCGAAAGCAAAAATTGGAGTCACAAATTAATATCGGCGAGGAAAGAGTGACAATCGGTCCTTCGCCATGAGGAGAGTCGCATAATTGAAAGGATTCATCATATCTGGCTGGCTTAATATGCTTGCGTTCTCACACCGTACACCGAGTTAATTAGCATTCCGCTCATCGTCCCGTAAGGCTTAAAAGACTCCGTATATGCAAGAGAATAATCGAAGAATTAATGAATCAATTTGCAGTGACAGCGACCACGGCGAAATGAGTAACTGACACCACACCGGAGATGAGGACAGGAATGTGCAGTGTGGCGATAGAGGCGCTGTTTACCCTCCGCTGAATGCCGGTCCGACTGACTACTTGACAGTTTGGTTCGTGAGCTGCTTGTTTGCAGAGCGGTCATGTTAACTCACAAGGGATATGAATGCTAGAATGCTAATCAAGCACTCCATAAGTGTCGTGTTCAGTCTATAACAGCATTACGTTGAAGTGATTAAAGACAGAAATGGAAAAAAAATCGAGTCGTGGCTTGACGCGTCACGCCACTTCAAGGAACTCGCAAAATCTCATCCTGTCCCGAAAGAAGTATTTGGTAATTGCATAATTAAATTTTGGAAAGACAATGAGAGGCCGCCGTCCTAGGCAGCGCAAGGCCGTGCTCAAGGACAGCCAGTCTTTCTCGGATTAAACTCTACGGGAATTTTAAGCATGTGTTGGAAAACCAATCAGCTGATATGAATCACTGAGATGATATATAAATGCAATGCAATCAAAATATGAGACTCGCGGTTAAGAGAAAACATGAAACCAACGAACCAACCACGGTGAGTTGGAATGTCGAGCGAATGGCAACCTGGTGTGACGGGGGAGGGGAGGGAGGGAGAGCATCTGTAGGGACATCCTGCATGAATGCACGACGACTCAGACACACCGAAACCTCTCCCCTTTATTCTTCTCTTTCGAATCGAACTCAAAGAGTCATGAGGACGAAATGAATTGGAAAGCACTATTCTATAATGCTATAATTTCGATTTATGATTAAGAATTTACTTTCGCAACTTGACTGATATGCTTTATAATATTCGTCTGTCGATCGAAATAAAAACAATTTATATTTCCTGTGTTTCAAAATACAGAAAATAAACCCTGTAATAATGACGCGTGTATCTTCTGCAGAGGAAGAGGATGTTGGGGCGGTGTCGCCTGCGGCGCGGGGTCAGCCTCGAGGTCATCGTAGAGGAGGACGACACGGCGGAGGTCGCGCTCGACCCCACGCCGCTCCCGGAGGAGGACGATGACGACGACGAAGAGGAGGACGTCGACAGTGAGCACGGTGGGTCACGCGGAGAAATTCTTTCTTTTCCCATTATCTATTAGTTGGTCAGGGGATGCCAGAGATGGCGATCTGCCCAGGCAGCCTTTTAAACACACAAGGTGAGCAAGCTCTGGCTGCGTCATTTGAACAAGGTAAAGACAACTATAATAAGCTATTGCAGCGGCGGCAAGCCTCCTTCCCCAGATATTGCCACCTGGAACAGAGCGATTATTACCAGTGTTGTGACGCCCTCATGTATGTCAATCAAACTGTTCAAGTCTACCCCATTTTAGACAAGTAAATTTATTAAGCCAGAAATCCCTTCACTTAAGCCAAGAAATAATTAGAGGCTCTAAATGATGCCTGCACCGGCTGCCGCCCGAGGGAACGCCTCCATCAACACTCCGCACCGGCAGAGTGACTAATGCCGCCATTGAAATGCACTCGCGCTTTCTGCTGCAGGCGCCAGAGGGTCGGCTCCCAGCTCCCCCCGAGGGAGAGGCGGCGAAGGAGGAGGGGAGGCCACGGCGGCGGAGGAGAGGAGGCGGAGGAGGGAGCGGCGGAGGACAATCGGCGGGTTGTCAAGGATACGATCAGTGTCGTGTGAAGCCCTCACCCTCCTCGACACAAGGTGAGGCTCCTCTGCTTTATTTCTTTCTTGAAAGGTTGCCCGAAAACTCTCGCGAGTCTTGGCATTCCAGGAGGCGACGAGTACTCTTTCCCGGAATGGAATCGCCCTTTGGAAATTTCGTCCCGCCATATTCTGCTCTGAAAGGATTTGATCAATATTGCACTTGAGGCTGATCCGGATTAATGCGAAAGGTCAACGGATCACGGTCTGGAAAAAGAGTATTTTTCAATAGGCTTCTCATACCGCGAACGTTCCAGAACCGATCTTTCCTTTGTTCGCCTCGAAACAACTACCTCCATTACTTTGGTAGATCGCATGTTTGCATATATATAAAACTGACAAGCATTTAGATATATAAATACATGCACGTGGCATTCATCTATGGATGAATGTCACATATATAACAGTGCACTTGCCTATACACAAAACAGATGCATCTATATATATGGATAAAATGCTAGCATTCCCGCGCACACGACCTGCATATTTTCACTCGTGGATAAAATGCACTTGCAAACACTGACAACCGGTATATCACTGATGCACTTGAAGTTCGGTAACTGCGTTGGGTTCACGTCCCTGTTAATCGCCTTCTAATGAACCCCAGGAACAAGGTCCCTTCTGCGACAAAATGCCAGTAAGCCGATTAGCTATCCTCTTCACCCATTTCCGTTGCCAAAGATAACCAAATGCAAATTGATTTTTGAACATTGCCGAGCCCATAAAATCGCTAATTGCTAAAAAAGAAGACAAATTCAAACATAAAAAACAACCGAATTGTGAAAACGCAGAAAATGCAATGCAGATTTCAGTAGCGAATATTCAAATCAAAATTAAAGTTCAAACACTTGCGTAATTGAAAACATATTTTCAAGAGACCTCCGATTCGGGCAGTTCTAGTCAACACGCTACAGCCAACTCATTCAGCAACAATAATAATGAAAAAACAGAACCCGCTGAAAAGGGGGAAATGGAATTCTACGTGTATTTCCATAAAAGGCAGAAACACTACCGATCAATTCAAACAGATGACGACAGTTTTTTTTTCATCGTTAATCTAATTTCGTTTTCGACTCCTACATTGTTATAACTCATTCCTATTTTCGTTTTTGTTGGGATTGGGAATAAAATTCTTTTCAGATGACCGATGTTTCAGTGAATGTTCTCGTACCCCCCCCCAAAAAAAAAAAAAAAAATCTAATTTGCAAATACTCCACGTCCATACCTCGTCGCTACATTCATTCCACTGAAAGTGGGTGCTCTTATGATCTCATTTCACAGTGGAATATTGTACTTGCTTCCTCACACACCAGGATTTTCCTTCAGCGTACAACGACAACGTGATGGCGTATTTTTAATGCGAAGTCAGCATCCACTACTATTTTTACCAAAACTGGAAAGGTGAAGGGTGAATATATCCCCGCAAATGACGTCACCGATATCATTTCCCGATGTGCCAGGGCAGAAACGGCCTGGCCTTCTCTTTCATCTTTGGCGCGGCGCTCGTAATTGTTTTTTCCCCAGTGTTTTTCCCCGCCCCACTCCCTATCGGCCTACACAAACAGGCATTACCGTAAAAGAGACACTTCTGGCTTGCACTCGCCGCGTTCCTCTCGCTTGAAACATCAATGAACACATTGCAGCTCACGATTGGCTACAGTTCCACCCATAATCCTCGGCAACAGCCTCCTTTTATGCCTCTCTTTCTCTCCCCCGAAAGCGCCTCCTCCGCCCACTCAACGGCGCTGGCCGGTGTCGATACCAGCAACTCCAACCCCGCTCCTCCTCCCCACTCATACATGTACACTCACTCTCTCACCTACACTACACACACTCTCTCTCTCTCTCTCTGTCTCATTTTCTGTACGTATAGGTGATCTATCTCTCTTTCTCTTTATCTATTTCATTGTCTGCACTTGTTGTAATCTCTCTCCCTCTCTCCCTCCCTCCCTCCTCTCTCTCTTCTCCCTCCTCCCTCCTCCTCTCTCTCTCCTCCTCTCTCTCTTTCCTGCCTCTCTGTCGCTCTTTCTATCTATCTGTTTTTCCTCCTCTTCCCTCTCCCTCTCCCCCTCTTTCACTCTCCCCTCCTTCCTTCCCTTTCCCCTCTCCCCTCTGCTACGCTACTCCCCCTCTCTCCCTACCTCCTCCCCCCTCTCTCTCCTACCTCCCTACCCTCTCCCCCCTTCCCCTCTCCCCCTCCTCCTCTCTCCCCTCCTCTTCCCTTCTCCCTCCCTCTTACTTCTCTCCGTCTACTCGCCCAATAAGCTCCCTCTACCACAGGCACCTTCGTAATCAATATCCTCCTCACGCTTCCTTTATTCAATTACGGCAATCGAACAATCCTTCGCGCCCTTGAGGTTCGCTTACGCCCCTCGGAGAACAAACACGCCCTCCTTCCCGTCCGCTCTTCGCTCACCTGCCCCGTCGCCGCGCCGCCCTTGAGGACTAAATCGATCACCCTTCGCTCGCTCTGCCTCTTGGAGTACTTCTCGTCAACTCTTTTTTTCCTTAGGGCTGAGAGATGTGTGTGTGTGTGTGTGTGTGTGTGTGTGTGTGTGTGTGTGTGTGTGTGTGTGTGTGTGTGTGTGGTGTGTGTGTGTGTGTGTGTGTGTGTGTGTGTGTGCGTGTGTGTGTGTGTGTGTGTGTGTGTGTGTGTGTGTGTGTGTGTGTGTGTGTGTGTGTGTGTGTGTGTTGTGTGTGCGTGTGTGTGTGTGTGTGTGCGTGTGTGTGTGCGTGTGCGTGTGCGTGTGCGCGTGTGCGTGTTAGTGCGTGTGCGTGTGTGCATACGCGTATCTGACTACGTGCGTGAGTGCTTGTACCCCTACATACCTACAAACAAAACAGTAGCACGGAACCACTTTATCAAGGCCTTCCTGTGACACATTTTTATCATTCATACCAACCCCAACCGGTACACAAAAAATGAGCCAGGATTACTAGCAAATATGTTAATCGGAGTAATAATAATATCTTATCACGAATGTTTACTTATAAACGTAATAATCCACGAAAAGGTCGAACCATTATTATCACTATAGGGTAAAATTGTCCTACATATCTTATCTGCAAAAAAATAAATAAAAAAAAACAAATGGATATCCCAAGCCTGGTGTATTTCCTAAATACAGTAATAACTCAAAAAGAAACAGGCGCGCGCACACACACACACACACACACAAACAGTGAAAAGTGTATATTACAAAACTCTTCGGTCCGCACACATCACTATTCGAAGCGTCGTCACTAATTACCACGGAAGTTATGTAATTTTCAATAGAAATACAAATCAACCATCTTTATTTTCATACAGTGGCCAAATAAACACACACACACCACAACCGCACGTACACACACACACACACGCACACATACATATACATACACACACAACACAAACACATACATACATACATATATATATATATAATATATATATATATATATATATATATATAAATATTAGAGAGAGAGAGAGAGAGAGAGAGAGAGAGAGAGAGAGAGAGAGAGAGAGAGAGAGAGAGAGAGAGAGAGAGAGAGAGAGAGGAGAGAGAGGAGAGAGAGAGAGAGAGAGAGAGAGAGAGAGAGAGAGAGAGAGAGAGAGAGAGAGAGAGAGAGAGAGAGAGAGAGAGAGAATATGCGTGTTTTATAAATTCAATGAAACCTATATGACCATATATAAAAGCTTTCTCATCTTGCCTGGCGCCCTACGCGAACCCTCGCCAGAAGGGCATCGCGCAGCCAAAGGCCCTAACGCCCCTCTCTCCGGCAGCGACATGGACATGTGCTGCTCCGAGTGGGACGACGACGACGACCTGGCCACCACCAGCTCCAACTACGTCACGCTGAACCGCCCCATCAGCCGCCGCCGCATTCTCGAGAGTTCGCAGACGCAGTGCGACTCGGAGGACTCGGGCATCGAGTACCAATCCAACGAGGACGATCCCGCGCTTGAGGACCGATCAAGCGCCGAGGATCACTCTTGCGAGGACCCGATGCAGGTCGACATCCACGAAGCGGAGACTGCCACGGAGTCCGAGGGTGAGGAGGTGGAGGAGGAGCGCGAAGAGGAGGAGGAGGAGGAACGGTCCTCGAGCCCAAGCCCCTCGCAAGCCACACTTCCCGAGGAAGACACTTGCCCGGGGCTCCGTCAGGGCCACGAGGAGGGCGTCCTTGCAACCGGCACGTCAGCGAAGCACGTGTTCGAGGACCGCGTGGCGCAGCCGGCCAAGG